GTAGGTCAGAAGGCAAAAAAAAGGTGTGTTGGGTGTGACGTGTAACACAACAGGGTTAGCCTCTAACGTGACATATGCATGTCTGGCAGTGCATTCTTAATAATAGCAATGGCATAACATGAGAGTAAAATTTACCTGTTTCTCATATATGGAGGCTGATCTCGTCCTCTGCTTGGAGGGTCGGGAGTTCCCAGACCTCATTGCATACCCATTTCACAAACATTTTTTAGCTTCAGTTCTTCATCTTTAAGTTAGCTGCTAACTGCTAGTAGCTGCTTAAAAAAATCTCCTGGTGATGTCACACTCTATTCACAGTCCCGTCCTAACAGCTATCACTTTACACAGACGTCTATTCTGCGCTTTTATTACCTGTGCTGCCAGCTTAAAGGCGAGATGACTCTATACCCCGATTCTACATTGATAGTTTTTATAAAGAAGGTTGAGGTGAAATATCGGCGCAATAATCCTGCCTCATACAGGATAAAAATAAGGAATTATAAAGAATAACGGGCATACAAGTCAGATCCATCCCTCGCTCCTCCACAGCTCCATGCTCTCACTCAAATATGGTTCTTCTTCTATACTTCTGGCTCCAAAAAACAAGATGCCGTGGCCAAAATGCCAAACTCGAGGCTTCACAGCAGGAGTCCACAAACCAGCGGGCAATATCACAGTAGCTACAGCCATTATTTTATACAGTCTGTGATTGAAGCCCAAAGAGATAAAATTACCCGATAATTTACGCAAAAAATAGAAAAAAAGTCCCATAAATTAATCGAACTTTGTTTTTCCCCTTTCTTCTCCCATGATCATCTTCTGACAACCCCTCAGATTTATCTTGTGACCTTTTAGGGGCCAGACCCTCAGGTTGGGAACCACTGGATTAAATCCAGCTCCTCATTTACCAGTTACAGCAGTAAAATGCTGCTTACACAGTAATGTCAGATATAACAATACTGTCACAGGGGATATTTTACTGCAGACCAAGTACTTTCAGATGATAATATTCCTGCACCTTCCTGCATGTAGAGTTTTGAATGCAAACCTTTAAGTTGTAACAGGTTATTTTTTGACATTGTTGTATTGGTACTTTTACTGAAGTAAAGGATGTGAAGTACTCCCTCCATCACTGGTTCCAGTGCAGTAAGAGGAGGGAGAGCTGGTTCTAATTGGGATGAGGAGAGATAGACTGTAACCTTATCTGCAGAAAGCTGCTGTGTGCTGCATTATTTCATCTCCTCATGTGCCCTGAAAAAAAATATGACAGAAACATTGTTGTATTGGTACTTTTACTGAAGTAAAGGATGTGAAGTACTCCCTCCATCACTGGTTCCAGTGCAGTAAGAGGAGGGAGAGCTGGTTCTAATTGGGATGAGGAGAGATAGGCTGTAACCTTATCTGCAGAAAGCTGCTGTGTGCTGCATTATTTCATCTCCTCATGTGCCCTGAAAAAAAATATGACAGAAACATCAGAGAATGGAAAAAGCATGACCTCAGACTTTGTAACCTGGCAGGTATAATCCAATCATTCTGCTGAGGGCCTAACTCGTGTTTAACGCCAGTCTATACATCATACTGTATATCTAATTTAAGGCTGAGCTGACTGGTCTTTGAAGAGGCAGTTTTGAAATCACATTCCAGTTTCCCCTCCCAAACAGCAAATTATTTCTACTCCCACGAGACGTGTGATTTCGGACTCAGAGTTGGAGCAAATCACTTGCAGACTACTTCACGAGGAGCTTATTAATCTGAGACAAGGGGTCTGGGATTCAAGTTGAAGTATCAACAACCTCATCATCAATGGACAACGCGAAAAAAGAAAAGCTTCAGCTAGAGAGAGTGTGCTTGGTTTCACCTCAACAACATCAACATACGTTCAGAGTTAGGTTTGACGCCAGATACCACAGAGAAAAGCTACAGCAAAAATGTGCCCCATAATTGGTAACAGTCTCTGAATTTATGTAAGCAAGGTAGGCTGTAATTAATCCCAGCACAATGAGGATCCTCTGCGGAGCGTGCTCATGTATTTGTTATTGGACATCACCACAGGGCCACTCTGGAGCCCATCAGATACAGTGTCTAAATACACAGCAATCAGATGGGTTTTTTTTCCTCTGAAACTACTCCCACCAATGCCTCGGCAAATATTACCAAAGGTTATCAAGGGGCATCTCCCACCAGACTCTGACCTACATGAACCCACCCTCATTTCCCCCAAAACGTGCCTCATTTCTCCCTCATTAAAATCCCTGAATCAGGCTGTTTAAATTAAGATGGCCTGCAGTCTTCTGCGAGAGTTGGAAGAGAGACGATGGGAAAGGCAGTTTGGAAATATGCTGAACGTAGCTGGCACTTCTTATCTACCACATATTAGCAAAGTTGAGAAATGGTATTTGCCATGTTGCATTAGCCTGCTGCCGTCCCATCATCGCCTGCCATTCCCAGCAACAACATGATCCAAATGCGGTCCAGATGTCTCAGCCATCAAGCTTCAATATTTCACTACCCCTGCATTAATCTTATCAAGTGTGTCACAGATCCCAGCCTGATAACATCTCGCAGGATTTTAGAAAATCAGTGCCTGCAGCTGACCACGGCTTCATTAGAAACTGATATCACCTTGCAGATTTATGTTGCACATAAATGAGCTAAATAAGCTGGAAGTCTAACAATAGAATAGTTTGCAACTATTTAATACTCAGAAAATAGTGAAACTTAAATGCTCTGCAGAGAAAGAGAGAACCTGGGTCTTTTGTTTTATCTGAATGTACAGACAAAGACCTCCAAATATCAGCACTGATTACAAATATTCAGTTTACAGAGAGAGCAGATAATATATGAGAACTGTTCATGTAAAATTACCTCACATTTCCTTATCAAGATTTGGAGAGTAACAAAAACATAACTCATGTACTTTGGCACAATTTTCTCCTGACACTCTTACTGGATATCAGTGGGAAATACTGCTCACAATGTTAGATTTCAGGGGTGTGTTAAGCCTACTAAATACAACACAGTATAATACTCTGCAATGAACATTATTACAAAAACCCTTTTTCATGGTTTCTCTTCTTACTATAAAAGCGAATGTACAGATGGTGGCAAATGTTTTAATTAAAGGTCTAGTGTGAAGGATTTAGTGGCATCTAGTGGTGAGGTTGCAGAACTGAAACTTCTCCCGTGTTCCAAGCGGGTAGAACTGCGGTGGCCAACACCAAAACACAAATGGCCCTATCTATATCCAGTGTTTGATTTGTCTATTCTGGGCTGCTGTAGAACAGCAAGCATGACGGACTTTGTGGAAGAGGACCAGGGGTCTCTTTTATAAAACAGTGCGTAGGATCTACACTAAAAATGTACATACAAACAAAAACCAAAATTTGCGTGCACCAAAAAATATTCAACATTTTCTACAATCAGGCTTCCACCTCACCATCTGCATCACCTATTTCCTGTCTCCATAATGTTTGCAAGCATGGGTCAAAGATTTTTCCATCAAGTCGGTTTTAACAGATCACAACTTCTGCATGGGAAGTGGCATACATCTCTTTCAGGCCTTTTTGTTTTGTGCGTACGCAGTGTTTATAAATGAGACCCCAGACCCCCAGAAAGTGAAGCCAATTTGACATACTAGCCTAACTACAACTTTCAGGTTCATCACGGGATGCCGTTGGACCCAAAAAGACTATTTCCCACAGACTTACATTGTGTCATCAGTGAATACATTTTTTTAGCATCAAAACCTGCGCAAAATGACTCGTTTCACTATCAGTCCTATATCTATTTGAAAGTCCAGAAAAGCAGAACATATAAATTGCTTCACTCTCTTTCAAATTAGCAAAACACTAAACCAGAAGTTAGCCGCTTGGCAAGCCGAAGTCTCAAGTGCACTTGCTCTATGGGCCCCACAATGCAGAAGATCTAGGTAATTTTACATCTACGAAGTCAAGCTTTTTTGGCTTTATGCGCCACTGAGTGACTTTCATATGTGAACGGGGCACACCTCAAACTGTATCCAGGTCTCTTAACACATCCGTGAAAGAGGACCCACTCTGTATGTAGATATAAAAAGCTCAATCTAAGGTAACGAAAACAAAATTCTTATTTTCAGGTGATTATAAAATAATTCATATGATATTCCGTTTATGCAAATACATGTCCCTAAATCCTACACACTGGACCTTCATATAAATACTTACAGATTAAGGGACCGATCACACCGAGATGAAACGCTAGAAACGTGACGCCAGTAAAACCATTGTTTTCCTATGATACGGCGCATCTGACCGTCAAACGTCTTTTTAGACAGGCATTTTTTCGGCGTGCGTTCTTTTTAGACGCGCGTAGACACTGAAAAGTTAAAATATTTTCAACTTTTTTGAGCGTCAGACACCAGTAGCTAGCGCGCATCGAATAAGCGCTTCCAGCGTTCAAGCGTCTTTGAAGCGTCCACGTCTCATTTCTGTATGATCACCCCCTAAGACTTGTAGTTCAGAGACTGCGAGGTTTTGAGCTGTTTTTATAGAGTTAGAGTTCAGCCCTCAGACTCCACTCAAGCCTTCAGCAGAACAAGCTTTTTCTTGATGACACGTCTCCAAGACATCACTAGAAATAACAGCACACTTGTGACAGTCAAGAGAAAACAGTTTGTGAGATTGTGAGAAGCACAGTGACCTGAGGCTTCAACAGAAAATCTTTCAGGTGTTAAAGGCCGTACTGCTACTTCCATGTGTCAGAAAAAAAATCATTATTGTTATATAATTATTAACTTTGTACTAATAAAACTAAAATGTCATGTAAATTAAACACACAGGTAAGGAAACAGTTTTCCTGATCCCTTCATCAACGAGCAGTTTGACTCTAAGGAAGAGAAATAAAAGACCATCTCTTACAGATCAATTTTCAACCGCACTGAAAAAGCTAATGAGGGACTACACAGTACCTGAAATGTGGGAAAAAATGAATTGTAATGTGAATTTACACAAATACAACCTTTTGGGAAATCAGATGCATTTATTGAACTCTGTCACACATTCTGCAATAATTAAAATTTGATAAACCACTGCAGGCTCATGTTTATTTTTTTTTAAACAAAGTTGTAAACAATCACCTTTGTGCCAAAACAGTCTGCTCCGCCTGCTGATGGGCTTTAAGTGCATATAATTTTTAATATAGTAAAATCTCAACATATAATACTCTCAGGTTAAAACAGTCCTGACAGCATCAGTCTCAGTATTGTGACGAGTAACATTCCACTACATGCTTTAAATTTAGCATTTTAGACTCCCGCTCAGCAGCAGGTATTATTATTCCTGCAGGACACTGAAACAACTGAACCCAATACGAGCTGAATGACTGAATGCCCACCATTCAATTTCCTGAGCTGAGTCTGGATAGCAACTCTGCCTTCACATGCTGCAAAGACTCTTTTCCTCTCTTAAGAATTCTTGTCCTTGGAGCTAAAATCCTGTTTGATGGGTCCTGATTGCGAGGTCCAAAGCTTGTTTCCCTCAGGGCCAAGGTCACACCGGTTTCCCCAGCTCCAGCCTTCCAGGATCAGTCCTCCTCTGAGGAGAGCTGGGCTCCTTCATCGTGAACCTCTCTGTAGGCAGCCATGGGGCCACTGTCAGGAGTGTAGCTCCCCATAGAGATCTTCAATCCCTCAGACAGTTTCTGGGCTGCCAGCTTGGCCTGCAACTCCTGAAATTAAACACAGAGAGAAAGTTGACATGAATAGGCTGGTAAACAGAAAACAAGAACATTATTATAAAGCAGCAGAGCCATAGCTATTAAACCCTCAACAAAAGTAGGACTGATAATGAGCTTAACCGGCCTCCTTAAGTTGACAACAGCACACTGTTTGACGTTTGGCTCTGAAGTCATTACTTTAGATGTGAAGGGATACACGATGCCTTCAGTGCCTGAACGCTGCCCTCTAGAGATGACGGAGGGATCTGATGTGGACTTTAATAGAATTCATGCTTGGATTCATTATTAATTAATTCCACACTTGATGAACTCACTGCTGCCAAATAAATATAAATAAATTAGTGTGTTGTAATAACATTTCCATAGAAACTGAGTTGTTTTTTTTAAAATTTCACTTTTATTTTTTTTTTTATTTGTGGTTGACAAAACAACAAATACAAAAAATAAAGAAAAAAAAATCTTGCTTCTCTCTCACTTTACAGGGTAGTTGCATTTCTTTTTTAATCAGTTTTCTTAGTGTTTTTGTTAACAGGAAAAAAAAATACAATATGCCCATATACACCACGCTCACATACTTCAGGGTTGCTATTTTAATCTATTACTCTGCATATTATGATTGTATTTAAGATGTTTTGTTTTTTAGCGTTTAAAATCAGATTAAAATAATCAGAATAAAGTTTATTACCAAGTAGGTTTTCACCTACAAAGAGTTTGCTTTGCTGTTTGGTGCATACAATAAACCTATTAAGAGAAAAAGAAATGTATAGTAATGCAACAGTCAAGAACATAAACAGAACAGAAAAATTGCAATAAAAACACGAAAAAGATATTTTAAAAAATACTGTAACATAACAAAGCCAGTTGTTTCAGAATAAGAAAGCTGTGGAGTTTTGTGCAGAATGTGCAAAAATATTTATCAGAGGATGTGGAAAATTTCACAGTACAGATAAGACGTGTGTTGATGTAGCGTACAGGGATAGGGGGATAAGAGTCTGTGTCAGTGGGGCCTTTTTGATGAGGCCATCTGCAGATGGAAAGAAACCGTTTCTGAGGCGTAAAGTTTTGGTCCTGATAGACCGCAGCCTCCAAAACGACTTTTGGTACTGTGTGAAAAAACGCAGCACTCCCATTCATTTGAACGGGGCGGTCCAGAAGTGTTTACACACAGAGGGCTCCAGAAAATAAAGTGGGGTCCAGAAAAATAGTTGAACATGCACAACTTTTGTTTGACCACAACACTATGACATCCAGTAAGGCGCTGTGGTGGCCAATCAAATATGTGCAAGTGCACATCTCCGGTAATTACTTTTTCATGCAAATGTCACATTTCTACTATTTACACGTACAGATAAAATTGAGCTGATTAAACCACAGTGAGTAACATCCCTTCTCATAATATAAACCAAGGGGTTCTGCAGACACTTAAATTCAGTGCTTTTTAAAGACCTTTTTAAGTAAGAAGACAAGATTTTCAAGATATAAGACAGATTCTTCGGGAAAATCATCTTTTTCTTACTCAAGTACTGCAGGTAAGAATAAAGGTAAGTTGTGTAAATGTGATCAGAAGTATTATTTCATGTAGGGAATATGGTTATTAGAGTGAGTTAGACGATCTATTTTTACCAACAGGTAAGTGCAGGGGTAGGTTTTGGATTTTTAACATCAGAGATGTGAACCTTCAGGCAAAAGAGCTTGACTCATTTTGACAAAAAGAAATTAAAAGATGGATACCTGAAAGTGTCTGTGGTAATTAAGACCTCACAAATTCAAATTTCTAATATTAATAAAATTGAATTTAAGACACTGTAAGATATTTTAAGGACCTGCAAACACACTGTATAAAACATTGTTCAGTGTTTTGCAGACTTATATGTCCCCAGAACAAGTATTTTTTTTACCTAAACTGGATTTTCTGGATCACAATTTTATGCATTTCTTAACACAGGGCTGTTTTTGGTCTGGGCTCCCACAGAATGTTTATTATTTTGCCATGACTGATTGTAACTAAGTCATTCAAATACCTTTACCTCAACATGCGGCCACCCAGCAGCGTGAGTAGTCTTATTCATGTTAGTTTGCCGAATGTACACACTGGATGTATAAGTGTGTGGACTCAGCTGCACTAACCTGCTGCTTTTTGGTTTGTTCCCTCAGGAGAATGGCCGACTCATCCAAAGACAGAAGCTGGGCCGGACTGTGGTGGAGAGGAGGGAGTTTGGCTGCAGTGATGTCATCCAGGTGTCTTCTGTCCCGCTCCCTCCTGGCCTGAGCAGAGAGCGGTGATGAGCCTTCAGAAGACTGGCTGGGTGACGAGGATCCTGATGGAGAGATGTCACTTCTGTTGGGTAGCCTGAAAACACAATTGAGAAAAAGTTATTTAGAAAAAGAACTTTGGGAGAAAGCAAAATGACGCACAATGTGAATGAATGAAATTGGCACAAAGTATTTTTTGTATTTATATTTACACAAGTAATCATCACATCATGAAACAAAGTCTACTCACTGATTTGGTTTGAATTTTTGCTTCCTGGTAGCTGGTGTCTTCTCTGTTTTTTCCAGGACAGTTACATAGTGAGGCTTCTTTGGTGTTTGCTTTCGGAGGAAGTAATTGTCTCTTGCTGTGCTGTTTAATGCGTCTTTGGACTCACTACTGAAACCAGTACTAGTTTCAGACACTCTGACCCTTTCCAAGGCCTCCACAAGGTCATTCTCTTTTGTCCCATCAGAGTTCAGAGAGGTCCCAGCAGCAGCCGTCTCCATGGTTTCACCAGCAGCTGCTCTGGAGACAAACCGGTCCTGTTGCTCATTCAAAGTGTTATTTTCTAGCACATGAGCTGAGACAGGTAATGTCTCCCTGTCCTGTACTGCATCACTTGCAGCAGCCTCAATTTGCCTGTTGAGGTGTGAGTCTGCTGGTGTGTTGGGGATAGCACGCCGTTGCAAAGTGAAAGCTTGCTGATACTTGGACTGTAACTCCGTCCTGGCAGCGGACACCAAGCCCTGTCTCCTCTCCTCTTCATCATGATGTTCAATGGCAAGGCGCAGTTTCTCTGCGAAGTCCTTTATTTTTTTCCCTTTGTCAGGAAGATTCTGTACAAACCTCCTAAGAAGAACACAAACACGTCATTTCATGCTGGATTCAAAACAGTCACACCAAGATACAGACAGGAGACAAACAAAAGAGATAGATACTACAAGTCTCTCAAAGTCTAATGAATGAACATCTTCTTCAAAAAGTTTTTTTTCAGTATGTTGCTTTGATGATGGGGATGGAGTCACACCAAACTCATAGGTGTTCAGATGGGTTGAGACAGCATTTCATTCACATCATTTTCTTTTTCATGAAACCATTCGCTGACCCTGTATGAAATGATCTGCACTTCTGTTTTTTAAGATTCTTTTTGGGGCTTTTTTGTCCTGTCATTGGACAGGACAGATTAAGTGTGAAAGGAGGATAGAGAGGAATGGTATGCAGCAAAGGGCCATGGGCTAGAATTGAACCTGTGGCCGCTGTGGCAAGGACATTGCCTTTTTTACATGAGACACCAGCACTAGCTACTGAGCTACTGGGCACCCCATGATCTGCATTTCTCAAGTTTATCTATTCTTTATTGAGTTTTTTCTTTTTCACTCATCTGCGTTCTCACAGCCAACATTCAAACCGTTGTATAATCATACTAGTATTGCAATATTGTATATTCTATAGGACTTAACACTGCTGTAGAACAATAATAGATGTGCTGGGCTGTTTTGACCATAGTCTGTTCCTTCCTTGACGTGCTTGACATGGTCACATTCGAAACTGTTCAATTTTAGGGAATAAATAATCAAAAATGTATAGCACACAGACACAACTGTGTTCAAAACTACAGCCAGAGAGAAATAAAAAATCAACTTTTGCACATCTACGTATGCATGGTCATAAAGGCATCATAAACATAAAGCTTTGAGCTACTTCCTCCCAGAAACACTTTTGTCCACCAATCATTTCATTTAAATGTGACAGAGTCTTAAGCTTGCTTACAACACAGTTTAAATTTATGTTATTGAGCACAGAGATGATTAGTGAACCTGTAGATCTACATTTTGTAGTGGAAACCAACATCTGTGCTTTACTGATGGGCAACAACACAACAGTGTAGTAGCTCTGTCACAGTGTATCTATAATAACTTCATAACCAGCTCTCATTACAGCTAATAAAGCTTATTAGTGTGGCTAGTGTCTCTTCTGTCAAACTGTTACTACAGTTTCAAACTACGCCAAGAAGTGCCACCCTGAACTTAGCCCTCAGTTTTCGCCTTCTCAGGTGTCACACACTGGTGGCACAACTGCTTCCTGTACATGTATTTCTATATTTGTGTCCAGTAGTGTGAACTTACTTGTTAGAGAGTATCTTCTCCTGTCGCAGGAGCAGTTCTTGGAGCTCCTCTTTGCTTTGGTGTCTCAGGTCTCCCACCTGTCCCTGGCGCTCCGTCCACGACGAGGACATCATCATCACTGTTAGCTAGTGACAGTTAGCTAACGGTCACAAACAACATGAGCTAGCGTCTCTGTTCAGTTTGCGACATTGAAACTTTAGTCATACGTTAACAAGCTCAAACCTCCGTCTGTTAACCGTGTCTGTCATAGTTAGTGAGTTTTAGAGACGTCTAATAGCGGCAGGTTCACTTCTTTAACGACATGAGACAACAACATTTCAAAGTGGGTTTCTTCCTCTTCTTCGTAGGCGGAAGTGAAACATGAGAGGTGTAGCTCTACCGCCCCCTCTGTATAGGACAGTGTACTGCACCTCTGCGCCATGTCACAGCCAGTGAAGGCGATTTGCTGCCCTCTGCGGGTCAAATGTAGTCACAAGCCGCAAGTTTAGATTTCAAATAGTTGTCTGTGAACTTGTGACAGTTCCTTATGTGAGATATTTCTGTCGTCTCTGTGGAGTCACTTTTAACAGGCGTCACGTCTCAGATTTTCCACAGCTGCATTCACCAGTCCGGATGTTTTCCACCCACTGTGACAACCCATTTCTCTCTGAGCGCAACAAACAATGACCCTACTTCAACCAAGAGGTTACAGCTGTGTCCTTTCTGTCTCCTCTCCGAGTTCAAAGTCAGTTCAGCGTTTGGCTGCACGCAGCTGCACAGTTTGAATAAAATCTCGGTAGACTTTATCTCACTAGTTCTTTTCAAAAAAATATATTTGTATTTGCTTTATTCACCTTTATTATCTCCTCTACAATGTAATGCATGTATTAGGCATTTATGTCTTACGTACCATGTCCAGTCACACCAGATAACAGTGGTGGACCTTGCAATAGAGGACATGGACGATTAATCTGTTCATCAGTGAGGGATCATCACAGTCAGAGTATGCTAGAGGAGGGCTGCCCAAACTTTTTTTTCCCATAGAGGGCCAGGAGTAAAAATTGATGGTGGTTCAGACACCTAAAGTTAACACCTACCATATCATATTGTAATATTTTGTATCGTATCGTATTGTATTGCACTGCATCATATCATATTGCATCGTATCGCATCATATCGCATCGTATCCTATCCTATTGTATTGTATCACACTGTATCAAATGGTAGCATATTGTATCATATCATATCGTATTGTATCATATCTCAACACATTGTAGCATATAGTATCGTAGCATATCATGCCGTATAGTTTCTCAAAGATGTTTCGTCACTCTGCTGGCTGTGCTCAGATTATGGAAAATAATTAATAATAATTCGGGATTCTAGAATACATATACTACATAAAGAAATGAAAACAGCATAAACATATATATTATAATTTTTTTTTAAATTAATTAATTTTTTTTTTTTTTTTTAAAGAATCATCTGGTGGGCCAAATCAAGGCTTATACTGGTAGGAAGCTTGCCTAGAGTGCCGAATGTGTTAGGTACGGCACTGCCAGACAATGTTAAACATTGATGGCTTTGTTATATATTTTTTGTTTTCTTGACATGTACCCTCATCCCCTCTTCTAATCAAAATCCCACAAACTAATGGAAACAAGTGCATTATGTGTGCTTCATGGTTATCAAAATCTTAAGCCCAGAATTGGATATGTACTTTACTGATAATATCACTGAGTGCGCACTTTAGATTTTGTTCTTTTAATCCTGATCCTAATTCCGTCAAATGTCTATTTCTACCTTTTTGTTTTCATGGACTACACATGGCTTTGGAGAACCTAAACATCTTCTGCAACATTATTGACATAAACAAATGCTCTAACACCATGTCTTACCTCATTTTGAAATAGTGTATCATCATTGCACAATAAATGTAAATTACAATAACGAATAATATTTTGTTGAGTGAAATAGCAGAGGTAGTTTACAGATGTCTACAGATAGAAGACACTGAGCTTTTCCATTTTTAAATAAAGCTTGTGGAGTAGAGTTCAGTGTGAATGCATGACATGTAAGTGTGAAAGTGAATCATCAGAAATGGAGGGAACAGAAGACATTTATAAAGCTCCTTTTGTGTTTCTTACCAGCTACGATAAACTCAAACAATGAAGTAGTCACAGGCTTCAGGCTTTCAAGTGCTGACACAATCACGATGTCTGTGTGCTTATATAGTAAAGTCTTTATTATCCAAACATACACTGGCCTCTTACCATTAGTTGCAGTATGATATGTATCGTTAAGGAAAAGGCACATCATAAAGCTTTTTCAAATACAGTCATGGCAGTGCAGATAACAGCTGGATAATACTTGTGCCTGTGGCTCAGGAATGGCAGTCACTTCAATAAGGTCAATATCTTTAAAGTGATTGAACAGTTTCATCAATAACTGAGAAATTTACTTATATTACTATATTACCCTGTTGCCAATTCAAAGCGATTCACTCCCACCACCAGTATCAGACAGTAGGCTGTATACAAAGGCACAAAGCATGTTAATAAATATTTTGTACATATTGTGACAGTAACAAAATAATATTCATTTAATTTGTACAGAGCCAATAAAAAAACGATGGGAACATACATACAGTAACTGTAACATCCTTCATGTAGGACTGAATGCTCATAGCTCTGTGAGCAACATAAGTAGGCTACATTCACTGTAAACAAAACAAATATAATCCTTCGGTACATTACTTACAAAATATTTTTACAGAGCTTAGAGCTTTACAGAGATTATTTACACCCTATAGCAAGCAACATTTTATTATCATAGTGCTACGCTGAAAACCTACATAAGACTTTTTACATCAATCAGTTTCATGTTGTTCAACACATGTGACAAAGGAAGGACTCATATACATCTGTGTCATGGATGGTTAGTTTAATAAAGATAACCAGCAGTCCAAAAGAAGACAAAGAGAACTGGGTTTTAAAGCAATTGTTCAACATTTTGGGAATTACACGTATATGATTTCTTGCTCAGAGTTAGAAGAGAGGATAAATACCACTGACTGTTTGCTAAATATGTAACTGCAGTTAGGTTGCTTTGAACGCAGCAACACACTTACAGATTAGCTTTATGCTAAGCTTACTGCAGCTACATGTAGTTTAGCTTAGCATAAAGTGCATAAGGATTGGAAACGGGAAATTAGTGGGCTGTTCCAATCCAAGAGTATCAAAATTGGCCTACCAGCACCAAAGCTCACTAATTTCTTTTTTAGTTTTGTATTTGTAAAAAAAACTTAAGTCTAAAACATCAATTTGCCGTTTAGTGAGGGGTTCAGGACAGCACTTTTTTTGTTGGGATCAGTGACTCATGTCTCCACGTTTGCTCCCTGTGGTGTAGTGGAGGATATATGCAGGTATATGGGGTATACCCACCTCTTTTTCTGGCCATTTATAAGAAACCCATCTATCAGAAAAATAGCCATCAGAATATACAGGACGGTTTACCCACCCTCTCTTAGGTAACCTACCAGTCTACCTAGTAGCACACACGCCTCGTCAACTCCCATCACACCACTGGTTGCTCCCATAATCTCATAGAATGGGAAATTTCTTTCAGTTATATTTCTCCTATCGACTTTTTGTGTTGCTTGTAGGAAGTAGACCTGCCAACTTTTTCAGAAAGTCAATTTCAGAACAATTAAATCTACCACATAAGTAGTTTGACATATTTCAAACGCACCCATATAGTGTAATGCATCCCCACTATGTGTCTTGAAATTGTGGTGAGACTTGAAACTAATGTGCGAAGAGGTACATTTTAACTGTCAGTTGGTTAACTTTGTGGATTGACAAATAAAAGAAAAGGAAAAACAACTCCTGCTCTGTCAGTATAATAAAAAAAATCTTAACCCCAAACAGTACCAATGGGCCATAAATCCTTGCATGTAAATCTTGCTATTTTATCAGTGCCAGCCTTTTTACAAGCTCCTGGTGAGGGTCCTGAGCATGTGTGGTGAAAGCAGGCAGTCAGCCGAGGTTGAACAGCAGATGTTGCTCCAATCGTTTCTGGTGCCTCCACTGCCACTTGGGTTGCAGCTAGCAAGTGAGTCCGCAGATGTGTTGTAATTGTGGAGCAGGCTTTGAAAATGTTTGTAAACACTTCCTGGTAATTTTGCCAATTATGGTGCAGAACCCAAAATATGTCAACAAGCTGCTTTTTAGGTAATTAGGTGCTGTGATTATCTGGTCAGCATGGCTTTGCTCACCAGTGTCCTCCATTTTTACCTCAACCAAGGGGGTTATGTTTCCAGTTCGGTTTGCTTGTCTTGGTGGAGGGGTGTAGCATGAGTTAAGGAAGAACCCATTCAATTTTGGAGAGGATCCTAATCAAGGTGCAGCTACACAAATTATTTTTTACTTCTGTTTATATTGTGAGATATGGCATTTGGCCTTGGTGTAGGTCTGCGTGTTGAGTGCCCTTCTCGTTATCTCTTGGCTGTTTATTGATAGGTTAATGAGCTGATAGTGAATTGCAAGAGTACGCCTTTGCTCTGCAAATGGTGTGGTGTTGTGCTTATATAATGTATATTTGAATTTGCACAGGTCACTAGAATTGTTGTGTTTTTTAATCCAGTTTGAACGCAATTACAAATAAAAAAACACACACTTTTAATTTCGGACAAGCCTGCAGGTTAGCTCTTTCCCCCTGTTTTCAGTCTTGATTCTAAGCTAAGCTACCCAACTGCTAGCTTCATAGTTACCCCCCACAACTAGCGTGGTATCAACCTTCCCATTTCTCATGTCTCAACAAGAAAGCAAATAAATGTATTCCCCAAAATGTATAGCTTTAACTTCATAATCACTCTATGTTTATGTTTGCTGTTATTTCCATAAGTTTCATGAACGGCGTATAAACCTGAGGTACTCTTGATCTTGGTCGCAGAGAGGACAGGGAAGACGTGGATTCCTCAGAACTTGATCGTGTGTCTGTGTTTGTTTCCGCGTCCACCTCATCTGTCCCTGACTGGACTGGATTCGCAGGAGGCGAGTCAGACGGGCGGATGTAGGGAAACATCCCACTTGATACTGAGGGGTTGGACTGCAGGAAGCGGCTGTATTGGACAGGAGTGTACCTCAGTAAACTGGACTCCAGCCTGCTGGGTGGAGGGTTGTTAGACTTGAACGTCCTTGGTTGGGTGGGCATTGTTAGATAGTGGAATGGACTTTGAGTGGGAGATGTAGGGGGTGAAGGTTGTGTGGGAGATGAAGGTTGTATCGGGAATGCAGGTTGTATTGGGAATGCAGGTTGTATCGGGGAGGATGGTTGTATTGGGAATGCAGGTTGTATTGGGGATGAAGGTTGAATAGGAGATAGAGGTTGGGTGGGAGATAGAGGTGGTGGGGGAGATAGTGGTGGTGGGGGAGATAGTGGTGGTGGGGGAGATAGAGGTGGTGTGGGGGATGTAGGTTGTGAGGGGGGTGGAGGTTGTGTGGAGGGTGGAGGTAGAGTGGATTGTGAAGGTTTCACTGGTGGTGGTGGAGGTGGAGCAGGTGGTAGTTCTTGTATGGTATGGAGATGAGTTGATTCATGACAGGTAGGCTCAACATCATGCCTTTTAGCTTCTTGGCTGCAGATTAACAGTCAGACTCAGAGTGAAAAATCACCTCCAATCTGCCTCCATGAGGCACCAAAAATAACCTGATGCTGCTAAATATGTTTCTCTAACTTTGCTTCTTACCTGAGGAGCAGATCGCAGCCTACTCCTACCTCCCTGGTTTCCTCATGGGGCCTATTCTGTGTGGACATAAAATACTTGAGCTTGTCTTCTAATTCATTATTCTAGGAAAAAGGAAAAGAGGAAACAACACTGTCAGGTCAGCGACATGCAAAGGACTGCAGTCCCTTAACATGTGAAAGTGACAGAAAGGTGCAGTGACATGAAGAAACCATGCAGACATTGGTGACAGCTCAAGATATTGAGTGCTCAGCAGCAGCCCAGATGATCATCTGTAATGTAGTCATGCAGTAGATCACCACACCACACCAAAATCAAAACATACAGTGAACACACAGCCGAGCATTTTTTTTCTTACCTCACACTCCACTATCGCGATTCTGTCCAGGAGCTCTGAGATGAACATGTCCTTCTGAGCAACTTGAGCTCGCAGTGATTGAACCTTCACAGAAGGTTGAAAATAATTAGCATGTGTTCTCAGTCGGATCCTTTATCTGCTTAGTTTATTCAATCCATTATTGTGATCTTCCTGGATTGTTCGCATAATTTACTCATATTTTTTTTGGAAGTTTCCCGGAAATAACGATATGATTTGGTGATTTTTATATATGTAAAAAAAAACATGAATGAAAAGGGAGGCTACACTGAAAACACCAAATATTAATAACATCTTAGTCACTGATCGAAGAAGTGATCCAAAATACATATTAAATGGACATGCACTTGTACAGCGCCTTTCTAGTCATCCAACTACTCAAGGAGCTTTTTACACTACGAGTGATATTCACCCATTCACACACTGGTGGCCGAGGCTACCATACAAGGTGCCACCTGCTACTCAGTTTTTAACACTCTCACACCCATGGAACAGCCATCAGGAGCAATCTGGGGTTCAGTATCTTGCTCAAGGACACTTCGACATGCAGACTGGAACCGGGGATTACACCGCTGATCCTCCGATTGGTAGAGAGGGTCAGAAGTAGAGCGGGTCGTCCAGGCTCTACCTCTGAGCCACAGCCGCCCAATTTAGTATACCAAATGGTTTTATCACAACTGAGCTTAAAGGTAAACTCTATAGACTGCTTACAGTCTGTGCAAGAACGTGCATACTTCTGAATTGGATATCAGACAGAATTCCAACCAAAACACAGTGGCATATGGTCATACTTGTATATATTTCTTTGGATTATGTGACATGTATCCTACACTTGAAGGATGATGCGCTCCATAGAACATGGGAGCCTTTTATGTCCTATATCGGAATGGATATTTCAGCTATTCTTACAAGAGGGTTTATGTAGTGGGGGACTAACATGACTTGTCATTTGTTTGTCTTGCTTTTAGTTTTAGTGTGTAATTCATCTATAGATGTTTGATCTGTGAGCCAAGTTGAGTTGTTTGGATTGCATATTCTGATGAATGTTATATGTATTGTTTTGCCCTAAAAAAATCAATAAACATATTGAAAAAGAGAGCACCAAATATGCATTCATTATTCATCTATTATTGAAAATTTGTATGTTTGCCTGTAGACAAATTTAAAGGTCTGCCATGCAGGATTGTTACTGTTTTTAAACAAGTATGCCATCGAAGGTTTGGTGTTTCACCTCGCTATAGTTGTGTTTTTTCAGCGCTGTGTCTCTTGGATGCCTGCTGCTCACAGTCTGGCATCTGGTTGCTACCTTTTAATAAGGCCTCTAGCTCACCTGAACGCTGTGGGGGTACACAACTTTAAACATCTCAAACACAGGAAATTAGAAAATCCAGGCAGAGTCTCTGCAGAAAAATACACCACCACACACTGCCAGTGGGTCATAAATGATGACTGAGAGGGATCACTTCTGTATGAGGCTGTACATTGTTTTGGTTTTTTTTTGTTTTTTTAGGCAAATCTTGCACAGTATATCTTTAACATGTTTAGTTAACCTGCTGTGCACTAACTATAAGACTTTCTTTTAAACTAGTGACTCTAGTGTTAGAATGTATTGAGCAGTGTATGAATTGGACACTGTCTCTATTTTCTGCAAAACTTACTTCCAGGAATGTTCTTGGAAATTATTCAGAAATTACACACCAATAAAACAGAGCATTACCAGAAGAAGAGAAAACAGCCAAGGCAACACGAGAACAGAACAGTGATACATTACTATGGACGCTGAATATAAGGAATAACTTCCTGGAAAACCAAACTGTACTATGAGCTCAAGAGGGAACAGTTAGAACACTAATAATGCCTTTTAATCACTTCACCATTTATCTTTAGCTCATGAGTATGTATCTTAACCACTAGACCAATGCAGTGCCCCACCCATTGTTGACTCTGGGTCAGATCATGTTTTATACTCCCTGTGTGCGTTGATCTCATCCGCATTCTGGACGGTAAACAAACTTCTACTACTTTGGCTGACGTATGCATCTCATCCACACCCTTTATCAAAACACCGGTAGATCAGAAGACCCGATCGGATTTCAGACACGGATAAATAAACTCTCCTCACCTCCTCAATCATTCCTTTGACTTTCCTCTGTTGGCAGAACACCATGTCGTTCAAGTGTTTGATTCTCTCACGGAGATCCACAGATTCAGCTTGCAACTCTTTGGACCTAAATAGAGTTAAACCCAGAATTAAATCCAGGTGAAAAGGTGTTTTATCTTTTCCAAAAATGTGCAGCCAGGCCACATGCTTCTCAGATCAAGAATAACAAACTTTGAAAGGAAAAAAAAATGACTGCTGTACTCTATTAAAAATGCACCTCCACCAAAACAAAACTGTATTACTTGAAGCACGAATGTGTCTTTTTAACCTTAGAAATGATCAGTCTAGACTCAAGGTCCTCTTATTAGCTTTTATACATCAGGTGGCATAGAACCTGAAAATCTATGAGATTAAACTCAATGACAACATAATAAACTTCAGCTGCTGATAAAGACTGTGTGATGCAGTTAAAAGCTCATAAAAAGCTTGTAGGTGACCCTTGAGTTTAGCTTGTTTCATCACACTGGTGAGTGTATTTATTTGGACTCTCTTTTCATACTTTTTGACTACACTTGCATCGGTCTGGTCTGTCAGCTCCAGCAAGCGTAGGCGCTGTTCACATTCCTGCAGCTTCTTGCAGAGCTGACTTTTTTCCTGTAAAAATATTTATTTCATTTATGAGGTTTATCATCTGCTAAAAGTGTAGAGCGATTTTTGTTACGTTAATATTTTTGTTTTACCTTTCCCATACAGTCCAGCAGACGATCCAGTTCAATAATCCTCTGGTCCCTCTCCTCAATCTTGGCCTCTGCAATCCTGATGTTTCTCTCTGCTTCCTCCAGTCGCCTGATGTACTCATCGAGTTGGGCCTGTGTGAGCAGAAATACATTTCAGTTTAGATGATGGACTGCTTTTGAAATGGCTTGTCAAATGTTCAAAAACCAGACACGTTTAATGACATCTTGAGGGCTCATCTCATGACATTGGTTTCTATTGGCAGTGAAACTGTATGTGATGAGCAAATGAATAAGGAGTAAAGAATGCTGACCTGTAGCTTTTCAATCTCCTCCCTGTGTTTCCGTTGTTCCTCCTGCAGCTTCTCGTCGTACTCCCGCTGTAGCTTTTCTGAGAGCTTCTGCATCGCCTGATTGTGAGCCTCCTGTGCAGACTCCACCTGGACAATTCACAGCACAGAAAAAATTAGGCTGATTATTCCATATTGACACTAGAATAAAAGATTCAGGTGCAGCTGATGTGTTGCACTACTGCGGTGAGATGATCTGTCATCAAATCTACAGGATCAAAGCATGCTGCTGGATCTGCTATTCGTCATATCACTGTTATTAACTCATCAGACTGTTTTGTATCAGGCCGTTCGAACGTCACACCAGCTAGGTGACCAGTATCTCCATGAATGTGCCAGAGCAGGTACTTCCACTGTAATGTTTTGTGGATACATTAGGGTTTGTGTGAATGAGTGAGTGTGAGCTTGCACACAAAGAGATATGTGATTACCTGCAGTTTCAAAGACTGGTTTTCAACCTGCGCTGCTGCCAGCTCCTTCTCCTTTTCTCTGAGTTCTTGTTGTGTTTTCTCACAGGTGCTCCGCAAACTCTTCACCTCATCTTTCACGCCGACCCTTCTCTGACAGTTCTCCAGAAGGGATTTCTGCAAAGGAAACGTTTCTTATCAAGTCAGCCTTTTCTGTGACGGCATGCAGGTGTCGCAGATTCAGTGACATTGATTTGTTACCTGCAGGCTGATGTTGGAAGATATGAGGGAGCTGTTCATCTGATCGAAGCTCTCCATGGCTGCCGTCCGGACCCTCACCTCTGACTCCAGACTCCTGCGATGTGAATTGGCAGCCTGCAGATGCACATGGCAAACTATTCAGATTTATTCACAGCTTCACAGACTGGAGGTTTGATGAGGGAGTTTGGAGCAGTCACACAGTGTTACATAATTCATTACCCTGATTTCCTGCGAAAGCTTCTGCATTGATTGCTGCATTCCTCCGAACTGCCCGTACATCCGCTCTCTCACCTTCTCCAAAGAATCTCTCACCTGTATACACAACGTAGAGATATTATCTACATAACATCCCATACAGCTTTGAACAGGATGATGCGTTGACCTGAAGGCTTGACTTCGTGTTGTGTTAGTTTCCACTCACCTCCCTGATGTACTTCATCTCATCCTGAAGGTGACTGGCCGCCCACTCGCGTGCCATCACCTCCTGCTGTCTGTCCGAACCCATCCGCTGCACTACGCCATACACTTTGGGCCCATGATGCTGCAGCGAGGTCTCTGGCACCCCATTGGTCATATCTCCGAGGTGCTGAGGGAGACAGGATCGCACCGGTCAGGTTTCTGTAGCCACCCTCCACCGAGGCTGACTTATACTGTCTTTGTGTTTGTGTATTCGTGTGCTCACTTATGTGCATACATGCACACTTTCAAGTGCATCTCATGTTTGTGTGTTTGTGTGTGGATGCACATGCCTGCATATGTACACTTGTTCAGGTATTTCCAGCACTACTGCTGCTGAGCACTGGAAACAGGAGGCTGGGAACAAGTGGCTAAAAAAGTGCAGGGTGTATTGAGGGTGTCATGTTTCTGCAACCCAGTACATGAGCTGCTGCTGCCGTGTCTGCCTATTGTACCTGCAGCAGCCGGGCAACTGATGAAAACAGATGCACACCAGCAGAGAAGAAGTGCAGCATTTTAAACAATGTAATAACTAAATAACAAAATACAGTTATATCATGGCTGCAGATACATTACAGTACTGAAGCTTAGAGATTCAGTTTCCATAAATATTTCAATACTGTAGTGAAAGGGGCAAATATTTTCTCTGGAAATTAGAAAGAACTTAATTTGGGGCTGAAACTAATCTGTGTATATAGATAACCAGATAGATAGATAGACTTGAGACATCGAATTTGTTACAGTCATCTACAAGCATCTGTTCATGTTGAATATCCATGAATACATTATTAATGACAGCCTCAAAGTGCACACACGGAAACGTGCTTTTACAGAGGGATGACGGTGACACACGTGCTGAAGCAGTGGCAGTGTCATGCCTATTATTCATGTGTTGGATGTGGCTGTCTACCTGCTGAGGTGACTCCCTGCCAGCTGGCCTCTCTCTTTGGATCAGCCCATTCTTCTTCTTCCATGCCCCATTGACAGCCTTCTCTTTCTCAGCCTACAGAAACAAAAAGTAACAACAAATATTCAATATTGCTGTTATGGATAATTCAAGACACTCCAGGTGTGGACCCTGGAAAGTAAAAAATACATGTATTATTATTTTTGTATTGTGTGCGAACATTCCACAGCACTGACACCTTCTAACTAGCAAAGTTTCTGTTGCAATAAGACACGTCGTTGCAATCTGTCAACAAGACCAAGAATGCAAGCAAACTCTTTTGCAAGTTTTTGCTATTTTATTATCATTTTCTACCTCATTCTGTCCTTATTTAAATATGTTGCATATTTTTCTCATTGCATGTGAATACTCTATTTTGTATCTACTACGTGGAGTTGAAGCTAAGTTTGTTTGTTTATGTCACTACGACAATGTTGACTAAGTTGTAGTGGGTATGGGTAGGGTTTCACAGGTTTCAACTGTTAAATAAGTAATAATTTGGGGGGTGGCGTGTACAAAAAAACAATTAAATTTAATCAGATAGATAGATAGATAGATAGATAGATAGATAGATAGATAGATAGATAGATAGACAGACCTATTACCCTGTAAAAGAGGCACCAGTCTCCACAGCTCTCAGAGATAAGAATGAGGAGGAACTGGAACAAAGACGCCATTGTTGTGTGGTGGACACAGCCGAACCTCACATTTCTCCACCACTTAATCTACAGAGGACGCGCTGTTGAGAAATGTTGAAGGCCGGCAAATAGGCGGATGTGAATTCCAGCAGATGGGAGGGAAGAACAGCCATCTTTATGTTTTAACAACAGAGCAGCCTCCCTCTCTGAGAGAGAGCCCAGAATAACAATGCTCTGTGTGCTGTCACTTCAGCTTTGAATTTTACAATTTCAGTATTTGACTACACTGGTGACAATGTTTACCCGCTTCTTGTGACTGAAACTACTGCCGTCATGTAACGTCAGTGGAAGAAACAGACAGGGTTTCTGTTGTTTTTTTGCTTTAAGAAGGATGAGCTCCTCATAGAAGTCACAGTCTGGATCACGTTAACACGTAAAAACTGCATAGAAATGCCCCCTTAAAGGAATTACGTGTTAACTGATTGTTTTATCATATGACTACATTGTAAAGGACTTGCTGTGTGTCTGTGTGTGTGTGTGTGTGTGTGTGTGTGTGTGTGTGTCTGTGTGTCATCATGGTGCATATGTATTACATCTCATCTAGGCCATAGTCATTGGTTGGATTGTGTCGACGATGTGTCAGGTTGCAGGATACACCCGTTCTAATTTTATGGGGAATAACCACTTTAACCATCTTCCCTGCTGAAACATAATATCTCTGGATTCCTCTGACAGAGCATGTTTCTGTCACTTCCTTCCTCTTCGATTAACCTCACATCTTCCCTTTTTCGTTTTTTTCCCACAGTCACACGCTCAAAAATACGCAACTGGCCTTTATTTGACCTTCCCTCCCGATTACATTTAAAATCACAGATTGAGTAGAAATTTGTTTAAGCAAACGGGCCATGTCTAAATAAATGAAATAAGAAATTGGAGCCTGCTCAACACTGTGTCACTTTTGAACACTGTGCTGGTATTTTAACTAAATGCTGTTGCAACAGCAACAAAGTTATGTGTCACAGCAGCAGCAGCTGCACAGAACACTAAGTTCAGCTCTGAATGCATAATGAGCACATGAAGAGGACACAGAGAGATGAGTTTTTAACCGCTCGAATCCTGATTTTCCTCTTAATTTCCTCTAGAGTGGCTTCAAAGCTATGTTTTTCCACACTGCAGATTCATATGCAAATTATGTGTAAGCTCGTTTTAGCACTTCAGTGAATTTAGCTTAGTTATTTGGACATACATGTGTAAAAAAGAAAGACCTTTCTTAACACAAGTTGAACAATGTGCGGGAGAGGTTACAAGCAAAAAATGGCTTATGAAGGTACCTCAACTACTAAAAAACAATAATCAAAAACATAAGAAATTAAATTAAAGGTTTTAAGACTAAGCAGCAACACAGAAATAAATTACAAAGACAGTCATGAAGTGTTACAAATTTTTCCAAATTAGAGTCCTTTTCAGATGTTTTTGTTTTTAATAACGAGACTGCAGAAGTTGATTGTATAGGATGGAAGTATGTTGTTCCAAAAATATCATGTTCTGTATTTCAGTGAACATTGATTAAGTGAAGCATTTGTACAATAAATATGAAGCTACTGTGAGAACCTGGTTAGCTTAGCTTAGCATGAAAACTGGAAATGGGCTAAAATAGTTTAGCCTGGCTCTGTCCAAAGGGGAAAAAAATCTGCCTAGGCGCACCTCTGACGCTCATTAATTGCACACTCCCCTTGCCTTAAAACAACAAATGATCATTTTAAGTGAGTTTTTGTAAGTATAAAACAATCAAGATCAATCTTATCATTATATTTGGAGGTTTAGAGGTACTGGCTAGGCGTTTCCACCTGTTTCCAGTCTTTGTGCTAACTCTAAGCAAAAAAGTGAAAATATGGATTTCCCATAATGCTAATATTCCTCCAGGGCCACATCTTACTATTGTGTTTTTACTCTCTACATTTCCTCCAGCCATTGTTATTGCACCTTGGGCTTTAGTCGATTGTCTGTAAAAATGTGCCGCTGTGCTGTTGGAGCTGCTGATGTGTGTTCAGGCAAAACGAGCTGCACAGTTGCATGGGTGCAGAGTTTACGTCCTTACTAAACACACACTGAAGCACACGTCATCACCGAGAGCACATGTGTGTTACCCTCCACTCCATGTTCACTCTTGACCACACTGTCCTCTGCCATCAGTTCCAATAGTCATTATCACACCCACTAAAAGGGAAGTGCATTCAGAGATTGCTGTAGCGTGCTATCAGTGGAGAGCGTGGAGGTGTGGTAACTAGGCGAACACCATACTCCCTGGCCAAGGTTCATACAAAACAAACCACCATGTTGCTGTAAAGATTCTGCACTTGAAGGACCAAAAAACCCTCTCAGTGCCAACAATAAGTCAAGTTTCAGTTCTCACACTCTCACTGTCAAATTCTGGCATCAGTCTGTGGACCACAGATCCTGTACACAAACAAAGGCAGGGGCAGAACCACCTACAGCAAACACCTTCACAGCCTGCAGCACATACTCATAATCATAATCCTCACAGTCACAATGTGCACTAACAGAGTCGGAGAGAGTGTAATTATGCAATTCTTTAAGAACATTCAAATTGATGTTTGTGTAGTTAGTAGTGTTTGAGTTTGTACTGTGCCGCAGGTGTCTCAGGTGTGATGTCAGAAAAAGCCTGTTCAGCAAAAGTGTTTTAAATATTTTCTATTGTATGGAATAGATTTATAACACAGAGTCAGAGGTGAGCTTTGAAGTCAATGTGAAACAGCTGTGTGTGCATTATCACATGCACACACCCTCCTGCCATGATTGTGTAACTGGTCCAGATGATAAAACACACATAAATCTCAGTGGTTCTTTATTTGTATTATATGATGAATTAATGTTGTATCTTCAGCGCTTATCATTCTTCCACATCACCACTTTTTTAGAGCGCCTTTGTGTGTGCGGTTTGAGTTAACTCCATTCATTAAACCTTTACCTATCTAAACAGGGCTGTCAAGCAAGACTTATAGGCAGGAAGTAGCATACTTAATTGTAGAATTTCAATGAGGGAGATATACACACAGACTTACTGTGTCTGAGTTTGAGGTTTTGGGCTCCTTGTTTCCATTATCTCCAGCGTGTAGAGTTAACCGGAGGCGTCTGATCCTCCTCTGAGAAAAACAAACAGACAAAAAGCAAATGAATAATGTTCTGCACGCAAATTAATGTTTGCGTTAAGTCATCATGAGAAAATATAGAACAGATGACCCTGAAACATCCCTGAAACCAGGGCTGGGAATAAGCTCCAGCTACAAGCCAAGTGCTGGTAAAATATGCAAGTGGCTGCTTCATTCACCAGCCAAAAAACAATAGTAATCTAATGAGTTGCTGGTAGGTTTTGGAAGAGGCAGGTGGATAAAAAAAAGTGAAGCTAAGAAATAGAACAGGTGACGAATCTCACAGACCTTAACACTCCTCTGTGGGTTTATTTATAGTCAGTGACAACAGAGCTTCGAGCAAACTTCATGTAAATGCTGTGTAGCTGCTTACAGATACATCATAATATTTAGACCACAGTCAGTTCTTTGTTTGTTTATGTAACAGACAAAAAAAGTAAAACTAGATATGTTAAAAGATTTTATTTTAAGACATTTTTCCAAAACACATTACTGCAGTCATGAACCTGTATCATACTCAGCTGACTAAGGCTCTTTATTCATTAGAAAACAATGGGAATAAGTTTAAAGGCCTGTTTAGTACAAAGGCCTGTTTTATCAGAGAGCTGTTCAAATAAACATGACAGCCCTGCCTCCTGCACACTCAGCTCCCATTACATGGTCCTGTTAGTGATCACATCCTATCACAAACATGAACTTTCAGATCATCAGGGAGCAGAAAATGTTAGCTGGGACTCAGGACATTTATCCTACTGTAAACAGACAAGAAACAAGTGGCTGCAGAGTTAAAGACAATGGGGGACAAACAGAGAAGGGTGGGAGGGGAAATACAAAACTGTTTGCAAAACACAGAGGAAGAAAAGGGGGAGACAGAGGGAGAGTTTCAGTGTCCTGACTTCTCTGGGACTTCTTACCTCACTTGTAGACTCTGGAGAGTCCTCTGTTGTGGTGGTGGTGGTGGAAACAGTTCGTCCTGAAGCGTACCGATGCATGTCTCCTCTTCTGTCCACTCCTCGTTTCTCTTCCTCTCCCTCTCTGGACCTCCTCCCACCCTTCCTCTCGCTGCTCCTTCCTGAGTTCTGCTCAAACTCTCAGAGCGACCATCTGCCCCCGGCTCCAGCCAGGGAAGAGGAGGGAAATTCCACTCTGTCAAGTCTGGTCCTAGTGGTGGTCGTGGGGAGTCCACAGGACCCTAAGGTTGCCTCTCCTTCTGTGAAAAGATCAGGTGCAATCCGGTTCCACACTTGGTAACACAAACACAGCTATGTCATTGTGATAATTCCTGTCAGACTGCTACTAACTCCACCTGGTTGACAGGCTTGTCAGTCACTCAGCAACCTTCCCTGCCTTCTGTCTCTCTCTGCCTCTCTCTCTCTCTGTCTTTGCATTCCCATCAGACCTGTCTGGCCACATTTCAGCTGCCTCCCTGGTCTGTGCCTCCTGCCCTGAGAGAGCAGGACTTTCACAGGGAGGGGCCTCGTACTCGGGCTGGGACAGGTGGAGCCCTTCTTATCAACAGGAGTGGCTAATAGGAGGAGCTGTGTACTGTTCACTCCACAGTTTGGCAATATCCTCATGTTACAGCTATGCATGCAAAGCTTTCTTAGAAATGCTCTACTAATTGTAAAATATTTATCCATCCATCCATATCTATGATATTGGTCTGTTTCACAGTTCTGACAAGCAATAAACACAGTGTATTTTGTTCTTTTCAGTTACTAAATACATTTACTCAAGTACTGTACTCCATTTTATCTTATGTAATTCTTCTAGTCCACATATCAGAGGTGATTATTGTTCTTTTATCAAAAGCTTGATCACTTACTGTGCAGCTGTGGAAAGTAACTAAATACATTTACTCAAGCGCTTACTTGAGTGTCTCCTTTTTATCCTACATAATACTTCTAGTCCAAATATCAGAGGTAATTATTGGTCTTTTATACTTCACTACATTTATTTAACAGCCGTTCACTTTTCAGATTAAGATTGTTCACACAAATCACATGATCATCTACATATAATGTAATAATACAGGTTAAATATCTAACACCATATGAAGTAGTTAAAGTTAGCTCCACCTCTAACAATTACAACATTTACAGTATGGTAACCCATGAGCGATTTCCACTTGCCAAGGTGATATTCGCGCTGAATGTGGGCAGTGCGGCATGTGACGCCTACAGAGGGCTAGCTTGCTACCTAATGTTAGTTAGCCCACTGATAAATACGGCTAAATATGATGTATTGGTACATTAACCATTTTCTTACATTCCATACCTGTCTCCTGACTCACTGCCAGCCAGGCAGCTCCTATCATGTGGGGCAGTTTGTAGTTAGTTTCATACAATATCAGCTGGTTAGACACAACAAAAATCAGTGTCTCCTCCACACAAACTCTGTTACTGTTTCTTAAGGCTGAGACTTGGCCGGTCAAAGTTGACTTTAGTTTAACACTACATGATGCAAAGATGCAAATTTGCTCTGCCACTAGAAGAGAATGTATTATTTATCCCTGTGCTTGCACTGAAAAGTGGACGGGAGATATATATTCACCGATGTGAATTTTGCTCACGTGAACTGCCCTTAATGGTCCAGTGTTCAGGAGTTAGTGGCATCTAGCGGTGAGGCTGCAGAGGTGAAACTTGTTCCATGTGCCAAGCGTGTAGGAGATGCGAATATGCAAAAACATGAATGGCCCTATCTAGAGCCAGTGTTTGGTTTGTCCATTCCGGGCTACTGTAGAACAACATAGTGGACCCTGTGGGAGAGGATCCGCTCTGTATGTAGATATTAACATCTCATTCTAAGGTAATGAAAACACGATTCTTATTTTGGGTTCATTATAAAGTAACGAAAATATAGTTGTGAATATTATATAACCATAGGTGACACTAAATCCTACACACTGGAGCTTTAAGTACTACTCACATATGAATACACCCAAATACTCCATTATACTAAAAGTCTTGCACTGAAAATTTTACTAAGTAAAATAAGTATTAGAAACAAAATGGGCTGCAAGCATCCTAAGTTTAAGTACTCATTATGCAAGAATTATTCCTAAGTGTTATATTATTATATAACTGTATCATTATTGGTGTTGCTAGTTGAGTTAGTTAACTTCAGTAAATGATTTGAAACTGGTTTATACTGAAGGTACAGGAGGTGTTTTGTGATGCAGGAGCTGCTTCAGCCTATACATTATTGATACTGTTGATAGTGGATCGTGATGAAAAGGAAGGCAGCATTATTTTTTAATGGTCTTCCTTCTTCCTCACAGCTACACTGATGTTTGGTTTTAAACAATGAATTTAACCTCATCAGTTTAAACTCACTCATCCTGTCAGATATCTTTAAGGGACAGACAGACAGTCATCCTGACAGACGGATCACATTCCTGTTATGAATGGCCTGCAGTCACTCCCTTTTAATAGAAACTACAGACAAATTAGAGTCACTAAGCAGAGTAAAGTTTTAAAGGTATAGAAGTTGTCAAGCCAGAGCTTGTTCACCTGGACATTATTCTTCAACAAAGATCAGATGTTAGCTGATGTCAAAATACATCAGTAAATATGAAAAGAAAAATTTCCAGAACAAATGTAAGAGGTATTTCTACAAGTCTGAGGAGTTAATCAGTAACTAGACATCAAACAAACGGTGTTTCTTTACTCCTGCAATCAGTGAGCCGGTCACTCAGCCAGGCCTCCGTCCAAGTCCAGTGTCAAGTGGTAATCCTCTACCATAAACATATCAGATTTACTTCCTGTTGTGATTGCGCTCTCACTGTTTTGACATCAGATCTTGATTTAAGGCAGGTCTTACAAGAACCACACGATGTATGTGTCACTGAAAAGAACAAATGCTTGTCAACTTAATTCATGCCAATGTGCAGAAAGCAACATGTAGACTGCAGTTACACAAGGTAACTAAGTACATCTACTCAAGGACTGTTATCTGAGGTAATTATACTTAAAAGAGTACATCCATTTCATGGCATTTTATACTGTTACTCAACTACAGTTCAGGGGGAAATACTGTAGTGTTTTTACTCCTCTACAATTATTTGACAGGTGTTGTTACTTTTCAGATTAAGATTCTACACATAAAATATTTGATGAGTTTATAAAATATGTTGCTTTTGTCATAGATCAAACTGTTGAAGTCCCAAGAGCTGAAACAATTAGCCCATTAATCATAATTCCTGCTTCTTAAATGAGATGATGAGCAAGGTTTTTTTTTTACTAAATTATAGTAAACTGAGTAATCTGGGCATTTGGAGTATGTGTTTCACAGAACAAGTAATTTGAAGGTGTCACTTTAGGCAAGGAGAAATCTTGAAGGACACTTCACACTGGTGATGATTAATTGATTGTTCATTCATTCATTATCTGGATGAATCAATGGGCTTGATAGAATGACAGGCTTTGGAGCCCATCCCAGCTGACACTATAGGCGAGAGGCTGGATACACCCTGGACAGGTCACAGAACTGTCACAGGGCTGTCATTGCTAACGTAGGTAAAACTCTCCATGGTATGAACAGTGGTTACATAACCCTAAAATCCAGCTACAACTCAGCCCTGAGCAGTGTGACCGTCCACTATTGACCAATCAACAGACTGCAGTGTTCACAGCTCCACCTTTTAGTACTAGAACTGTGTGTTAGGTACCCCAACAGAGGGGTAACCAAAAATGGGGACAGTGTGGAACAGTTTCATTGGTACCATCCACAGCTTCTCACAGTGGAAAGCGTACTGAGCTGAACTGCTCAGTGGAAACAGGGCTATAGAGACAGGCAACCATTTGCACTCACATTCACACCGACAGGCAATTTAGAGTCACCAGCTAACCTCATGTCATTGATTGTTTTAGCCTTGTAAGAATTGTTAAAAATTAGCTCTACCTTGAAGAACTTCTACAGTGAAATGCTGCTAACACATTAATGCATCAGTACTAAAAATCTAATGATGCCATTGTACATTTACAGCGGAAATTTGAGATACTTTAAGTACATTTAGTATTTTTGCTCAAGTAACATTTTTAATGCAAGACTTTTACTTCAATATTTTTTCTTGGAGGGATTGTTACTACGTACTATCTGCCCCACTGACAGACAGGGATAATTAGAAGCTTGTTTTTTCTCAGTAATAACTTACATGTATTATTTGTTGCTGCGTGCAGGTTACAGTCGAGGTGTTTGATCTCCTGTGTGGGAGCGGTTGCTTGTGGAGGATTTCACTGTTGAAACCAACAACAATAGCTGTTGTCTGTTTAGCGTCCCTACAGCTGTGGTATTTAGGTTAACTTGTGTTTTAGTGATTGCTCGATCCCAAAGCAACATTACCACTGCTGACAGACAAATGTGCCATCTGTGATTACACAGCCTCACAAGGCTGACCTGCTTTAGAAAAATGTGTGGTAATCAACTCAAACTTACTTGCACTGATTTTAGGGTTGTTCAAAATGGCTGAGTTCTTTTCCTATACAGCCAGAGAGATAAGTTTTGAGGCTGAATATTTTCAAGTAAAGAAGGAAATTTTTCTCACATACTGTAGGTCGAAGCTGCTGTACACAAACGTGTACTCTTTAAAGGATAGGTCAGTGTTTATTCAAGTCAGTCTTTAAACAAAATTAACATGTCAAATATGTACATTCAATGAGTCACTGGTTCTTGGCTGCAAAAAGATCCCCTTAAAGCAGTTTACAGTTTCATGTAAACAATAGGGGACTCCACTGTCCTAATTGTGTGAAAATTACCTCTAAAGTTTAACAGAAGCCAATATGAAGCTTTAGCAGATGGGATCCTTTAAAGTTACAGTCTTTCCCTCTTTGTGTATCCACAAACAGAGTTTCCTCGTGGAGCAGGGTGGAGGGACAGTAACGCTAAGGGAGAATTTGTTACTAAAAACACAGAAAATCTAGAAGATCTCAACTTGAGTCGTGCAACTGTTGGAGTCTAATTATCTTTGGCTGACTGTTTTTTATGAACAAATGTAAACCCATCACTGAAAAACAACACAATCACCAGACAAAAAAATGTTTGCATTGTATGTTTCTATAAACCATGGATATGTTACATTTACATCAATATGTAGCACAGTGGTTCTTAAACTTTTTACACAGTGTATCATCTCAGAAAATGTTAGGCCAGTGGTTCCCAACTGGTCCAGCCACTGGGTCCAGATTCCTCCTTAGTCAAGTTATTAGTTCAAGGTCCACACAGTTTAACACTTTCAGCGGCATATTTGTGTTTAGACATGTCATCAAGCTAGTTTGCTGACTTTGTCAAGTAGCCACTCACTCTACAGCAGGAACTACATGTAAAAAATAAAAGCTCTGTGCCACAAATTCACTGCACTTAAAGATACAGTGTGTTCTGTACAAACTTGAAACATTTGCGAGTCACTTCAGTCTATTCAGAATAGACCCACGATCCACTTTTGGA